CTTGCAGGTCTTCTGTTTCGGGTCCTGATTTGTCCACAGATGTACTGTCCACTTGGGAAGATGCTACAGATTCTGATAAAAGTGACTGATTTGATACAGGGCTAGAAAAGCAAAAATACGTAGATTTACAAAATGATCATCTCCACGCAGGAACAGTAACCAGAGTGACATAATAAATCTGAGTTCAACATATCTAAGCACATCATTATAAGAATGAACACGGAGATACTGTTCTATAACTTCGCATTAACCAGAGCGCCATGAACCCAGAGACCAGTCTGGACCAGAAGTTCAAGGCATTAGCAATAAGAGCAACAGTGAGTGGTCTCTGTGCATGAATTCACCACATGAACACTGGCTCGGCCACACCCGGCTTCAGGAGCCGGGTTACAACGCGGGAAAGGACGTGCTGGGCAGCAGAACTGGGTGTCCCCCATCACGAACTGGGGAAAGGACTAGAGTAGAAACGTCATCCTTGTTTCCTAATAGCAGAGGACAAGGGAAGCAAGTACTTCTGTGTTTTCAGGCTTCTACATGGCGGGACTTCCGGAGAGAACAGGAAGCGAGGGCATGACCCAAGCCAGGGAGCGAGGAGCCCAGAGGGGCCTGCACCACAGGCACTGACCCCCGCAGACACCGGCCCCGGTGAGAACCCAGCATCTGAATTCAGCAGGAAGCCTCTTCTGACTAGTCAGTAGTGAGACAGATGCAGTGTTAGGCTGGCTAACCTACAGGGACTTGACCTCCCTCTCCCTCACGGCACTAATCAGACAGAGGACACATGCCTCCTCCGTCACCAGCTCGCCAACCGGCACTCGGAGCCTGTGTCTTACCTTGGCTGCACAGAGGCAGACGTGGAGTCTAGTGGTGACTGGGCATCCGGGACGCTGCCGTCTGTGCACTGGACGGGTAAAGATTCAGACAGACTACTGACAGAAGCTGCTGCAACAGAACCACATTGCGTATTAGGGACTCTGAGCTCTGGGCATTCCGACACCTTGTCTAAAATAGAGAACAGCTATCCGCAAACTAGAGTAGACAAATCTTGTCTTACCACACCTATAATATGCTGCTTCATTACTTTTAAAAATTTTCAATAATTTTCCAATGGAAAAAAGGTAATTTAAACCAAGAAAGAAACCACATACATACTGTATATATTAATAAACTGAACTACTTCTCAGGACTGCGGGTCACTCACACCCTTGAATTCACACACATCTTGCAAGTACTAGTGCACAAAGTATTTAAAACAAAAGATGGGGCGCCTGGGTGGCTCAGTCATTAAGCGTCTGCCTTCGGCTCAGGTCATGATCCCAGGGTCCTGGGATCGAGCCCCACATCGGGCTCCCTGC